TCCTCCCAGGCCTCCCCTATCCCCTCCTGTCCTCCCCAGGCCTCTCCTGGCCTCTCCTAGCCTCCCCTGGCCTCCCCAGGCCTCTCCTGTCCTCTCCTGTCCTCCCCAGGCCTCTCCTGGCCTCTCCTGTCCTCCCCTGTTCTCCCCAGGCCTCTCCTGGCCTCCCCTGGCCTCCCCAGGCCTCTCCTGTCTCTCCTCTCCTAGACTTTCCCAGTCCTCATCTTTCCCTGTCCTCCCCTGTCTGGCACGTCCCTCCCCGCCCCAGCTCTTCCCCTTTGTCCCTCTGCCCTGCTATCCCTCTCCCCTATGCTGACTCTCGTCCTCCTCCCTGGCCCTGCCCCCCCACCCCTCGCCCTGTCCGTTTTCCCTTCTCTGTCACCCCGGGACTCTTCCTCCTGCACTTCCCTGCCTGTCCACCTTTCCTGCTGGGCTCCCCGGCTCCCCTTTCTGAACACCCGTCCCCTCCTTCCCCTCCGTAGGACGCCCAGGCGGGCAGTCCCTGTACCCAAGCTCTGTCTCCGTCACTCTTTGCTTCTTCAGAAACTCTGGGCTTCCCCTTCCACCGGCCCAGGGGCTGCAGTCACATGGTGTTTAGGAGAAATGAAAGCAGGGTCAAAGGCCCTGCCCACCCCCAGCCCGCCCCGCCTGCCCCTGCCGGTTTCCTAAGTCCTTCCTCTGCCTGCTTCTGGTCTGAGGCACATTCTGCCTTTTGCTTTCATTTCTCTCCAGCATTCCCCAGCTGCTGCTCCTACATCCGGTCCTCTTCCAGTCAGGACCAAGGCTGGGCTGATGGACCTGGAGGGCACCTTGGGGTGGCACCGGCCCGCTTCTCAGACGTGGGACTAAGGCCCATGGGGGGAGGGCAGAGTCGAGATTGAGCCACTACCACTCCTGAGTGACCGGAAGCCCTCAGGGTGCAAGCCACAGAGTGCAGATGCCGTGGAAGAAGGAAGTGTTCAGGCCTCGGCAGTGCGTAGCGTGAGGGGCACCGGCTCGGGTTAGATCCCAGCCACCAGCCCGCCCTTGCCCCACACCCACGTTCTGTGTCACCGTGCCAGGGACGGGGCTCCAATGGGAGGCAGGCAGCCTCCGTGCCGCTCTGGGGAAGCTTCAGCGGCTGCCCGAGGTGGTGGTGACAGCGCGGCTCCCAGACCAGCGGCCTCACTCGGCCAGGTCACTAGGCTGGCAGAGGTGCCACGTGCCACCCAGGGAGCAGCCCGACAAAGGCCGCTGCTGTCAGGGTCTCCAGCAGGTGTGGACAGAGAAACAGCCCCAGGGACAGCCAGGCGAGGGCGGCGGGGGCGGCAGCCTCTTCCTGTCACTCAGCCTGACCCCAGCAGGCGGGACAGGGACAGGGAGCCCCCTGGGGAAGACCCAGCACTTGCCCAGCTGGGGAGCAGGGGCTGATTTGCC